TATCTGAAAGCTGTGTCGAAAAAACAAACGGATGCATGCTTCCTGTATTCCTTCAGCATGGCTTTCGCGTCAGATCTGTACAAAGATATTCGCAGTAAATAACCCTGACAGTTTCTGCTTCTACCCAGAGTTCCTGCGGAGTGAACAATCAATCTTCACATTACACCTAATAACACTGTCTGATACGCACCGCTTCGGGCTTACAAACACTTCGTCGTAAAATCTGTTGCATGGAAAGTCCAACAGCTGCGACAAGTTGGGAGCGTCTTCATTAAACAACTGATCGGAAAATTCAAAGAACTCATCAACACTCGCCGTTTTGCGACCTACAAAATGCATCAGACAAGATCCGGGCATAAGTACGTAGCACCTTCAACGATAAAACTTGTGTAGCGATACGACTTTGCCGAAGCTACAGGTCATGTGAGCACGAGTCTGATACGCAAATGTTGAAATACAATAAGAGAAACTGTCCGGTAGATTCACCAGGCTTAGGTATCCGGATTCTCGATTCTGGAGACCAGGAATTCACGTCGATTACATCAACGACAGAGGAATCGTTCTCTTGTCTGCACAGATAATTTTTGGAAGACAAGAATGGCAGTGGTAACTTGCATTAACAAAGCAGACCTGCCTAAAGACGCTGAAAAGACTATCGACACCGTACCATAAAGCACAAAAAAATGGTGTCACAATTGGTGCTCATTACAGGTTTAAGTGTAAAGGAGACTCAACTCAACGCCTGCAAACTTTCCCTTGCCATTTTCTAAAAAGGATGGTTAGTCGTACAACACTGTATACGCAAAGTTACGTCGTACGAAGCAAGAAGCGAGGACTAGTGATGTAACAATTATCGGTTACGGACATTAGGAAAGTGCGCTTTTAAGCCAGGTGCATAACAGCTGTGATATGTTCTCGTTTGTAGGCAATTTTCTGAAGTTATCACTTCAAAAAACAATACTTTAAGGTAAACGACATTTACTGATTCTGATTTACCTATCCTTAAGTTCAAGTAGTAAGTCCATCTTTATCTTGGTCGATGATTGAGATATACCTTAGTCACTTACGAGAGCTGGAGATAAACCAGTATCGCCCCGAATAGCATAATTTTCGCACGATGCCGCAACGTCGCCAGATACAACCCTCCGCACTAGATCAGTGTGCGGAGAGACGGCCACTGAAATTACTTGCTTGCAACAAAGCATCAAATTTTAAAGCTTAATGAGTAAAAATAATATAAAATGCACAATAAGCAAAAACGGAATAATACAAGTAGTTGCTTGTTTACGGAATTGCCTGTCCTTTGTGAGCTACTGCTAACAATATGAGTAACTAATCTTAGGTTTATGCAAGAAGAGTACATCATGACTAACTATGTCGTGCATTAAATGAAGTCCACGCAGATATTATACACTCATCCTACGGGAACACAGAGCACAGCAGACAAAAAACTGAACGAGAATTTGGCTTGGAAGACTCCACTATTGAGTAATTAAAGTATATCACAGCGTTAGAAGGTGAATGAAACGACCTGTCATATGCCGTCAGATCGAGCAGTAAATTTTCTACAGCGACAAATGACGCGAAGGTCTAGCACTAAAACGTCAAAATCAGCGACGATCATAAATGGATCACAAAAACAGATCCATCAAAGATATGAAGTTGAGTATATCTACACAGACGCTTTACCAAGTTGACTCAACCATTTTCCAGCAGAGTAGCAAATATAAAATACAGTAAGTCCTGGCTGTTTATATCGGAGATAGGTTCCTGTTTGTCATGAGGTACAACGATATCGAATTTTCCAATAGCTTTGGCCAGTGGACAGTAAAAGCAGCGTGGAACAGTTCTTAAAAACCACAACCTCTTCTGAGCAGGAACACGATGAAATGGTAGGGTTTCGTCAAGGCGAATAAAGGTAATGCATAATTCTGTGAAAATTTAGAACTACCTCCCGCCTAAAACAGCATAACTAAAATATCTGGTTTAACCATATGAGATAAAAGGAAAAATCAAGAGTAAATTAAAAAGTCGATCGAATAAGGCTCGACTTCAATGAAGAGACAAAGTCAATGGGGCCAATCACCACAACTATGCAGGCAGTGATGAAAACACAAATATTGTGAGGGAAAATAACAGAAAGACGAAAGAAAAGATGGCCTGATATTTTAAAAATAGTTTAAACCCAACATTAAGCAGCGCAAGGTAACCAAAAACTTGACCAAAAGTCAGAGAATGCTGAGAAAACTGACACGCACAAGCAACCGGTCTTAAGTGATAAAGCTAAAAGAACACAGAAAATAAGTCAAAATAAGGAAAACATACGAATAATAAAACAATATAATTTTATAAATACTTTGCAATACATACTGCAAATATAAAAAATGTATTATTTAACGATACTGCAATAGGAACATGATAAAAAGTTAATTTATTTCATAAAATGCATTTTAAGAAATGAATTGATTCACTGGAAGCAACCACCAGAAATCATTTTTGAGTTAATTCGGTGTAGTTGCCACCCTCAGCCTTTACTAAGATGCAAAGACTGTATGGAGGGGTGAAGAGTTGCCTGGGAGAAAAGTAGCTAGTAGACCGTTTTGCTTTCACCTCTTTTTAAAAGTTGCAGATGCGTGGTGCATCGTTAACGAATTTATATGAAACTGTAATTTTCCTTTCCTTTTCAACTCTTTGGCATGAAATTCATATGCAGCAAGACGCAACAAAAAATTATATGTTGAACTATGTTTTCTGCTGCGCTTCAGATTAGAGCCATTTTTAGAAGCGAGTTCGTCTCTCAACACGCAATGGCCTTGTTACAGATCTTGAAGAGCACGTCGCGAATATAACGACTTTCGCTGGAGGGTTAAGCTAGCGCAGTAGCATAAATTACAGTTGATTTCGGTTTCCGCGCTCCACGTTTTCTGACAGTTAAACCAGCTGATCGGAAATTTCCTACCAACCAAGCGCACGACCAAGGTGGTAAGAAAGTCTGATTCAGCTATGATCTGTAGGTGCATATGTTTAACTTAATCATGCAAAAGGAGACAAGGTCTAAATTTGTAAACCATAAAGCATCTCACTAGATGCATGTATGTCTTATGGAACAGATATGCCTATACTGTGCCCCGCTGAGCTAAACTGA